CCTGGGTTTTCCCCCAGATGGTTTTCACTACCAGTTCACCAGATTCTACTAAAGGCCTCATTAAGTTATGATAATGTGGAAAGAGAGTTATTTTTCCCATTCTTAAACCTTCCCAATAAGAGTAGAGATCAGCTTTCCATTTCTTCCTCTATGTTCACTCAACTAAGGTTTCATAATTTTCCCTGAATAAATTTCTTCTGTGGCAGATTAAATTCATTCTCATGTCATTAAAGGTATTCTGTCACTGTTACGACTAATTTACCATGCGTTCAGGAAAGCATAATAATGAAAATGATATTTCAACTCATTTCATTTTCTACAACTCGCTGATTAGTTTATGTGCACATTCTCAATGTGGTCTATCCTTGAAAGTTGCAGTTTCCTTAATTTGAAAGAGACCCTAAACACTGGGTGCAGTAGTGCATGCCTATAATTCCAGTGGGTGGGTAGGCTGAGGCAGGAGGACCACAAATTTGAGGCCAGCCTCAGCAACTTAGCAAGACCCTAAGCAACTTACAGAGACCCTGTCTTAAAATAAAAAATAAAAATGGTTGGGGATGTAGCTCAATGTTAAAGCACCTCTAGGTTCAATTCCCGGTATGAAAGAAAGAAGGAAGGATGGATCCCCGAAAAGTCATGAAATCTCATAATTCATTACTTTTCTAGAAGCCACTTCACTGGAATTCAAAACTAATTCACTCCTTTTCATTCTCCGGCAAGACTAGTGTATAGGAGGAGAAAGCCACTTTACAAAGGGAAGTGGCCAACCAGTCCAGTGTCTCAGTGTAGATTTGTTGATATTTACACATGTAATTATTCTCTTTGCTGAGTATTACAAAAAAATGACCTCTACAGTAGCCAACCAGTGCTACACTTAAGACGTTTAAGCAAGGGATAGTCTAAGCTGAGCTCAATATTTCCCAAACCATGGCCCACTAGAAACTATTCCCAATATTAATAGCTCTGATAAACAGAAGCAAGAAGATGAGAAGGAGTAAAATCAGGGGAAAGAAAAGGGAAAATGGGAAAAAAGAAGAGAAGAAAGAAAAACAGAGATCCAAAATGAGCTTGGGAAAAGCTGTGTTCTCTTTCCTTCATTTCCCGATGCTCTCGTTAATGATCTGCTTTGTGACCATTCACACTTTAAAGCCCCTGAGAAATCTTCCAAGGAGTAAGTTTGCTTTGTTTTGTTTAATTCACTGCTTCTCAAACTTATTTGAGAACATTCATCTTTCTCATGGCACATAGTATACCGTGAAACACCACTTTGGGATTCATAGAATCCTTCGATGAGTCATCGAATGATTAAAAGTAGAAAGTCATTTAAAACATTTCTACCTCGTTGAATCTCGCTTTTACAGGGGATATTATATGCAATCATAATGTTCTTGAATCAGGGCTTCCTGTAGGTTTGGCAACCTATCTCGCACAAGAACGCATTAAAATCATCTGTAAAGGAGATATTTTCCTTTTCTCATTCCCTTTTCTCCTCTCTGGCCATTTGGTACAATTTATTGGTTTTCCTTTATGCATAACTATTTCAGCAATTCTGTCCTCTGCTATTCATTTTACTTTTTTTATTTAGCAAACCTATCTGTATTCCTCACTGTGTACTCTTCAGAGTAGCTTTATTAATAACTGCTTGTGCCTGAAATAACCCCATGAGTTAGGTGCCATTATTACTATCCCATTTCACAGGTACGAAAAAGGAAGTTTCACATGACAATGAGGTATTCTTGCCTAGATCCTATTCCTTAAGGAAACTGTCGCTAATATATTTTTCTTCAGGCATAGTATTGGTTTTAATTGTAAATATGAACTTAGTATCATGTAAAGGAAGAAAATCACCTTTCTTTCTTATTTGTTTTAGTCAACATTAAAAATTGAATTGTACTGAACACTTTTCATAATTATCTTTCATAATTGTCTCCACTGAAACAAGTGTTTTCTACCATTTTTCGGTTAGTAAAAGAAAGATGCTCACTTTGCTTTTCTGAGGCCAACAGTCTTCTTCAGTTACAGTTGGATTCATTGTTTCAACGTGATGAAAGGTTTTATTTCTAAATTCGCTCCTTTCCCTTCTCTAATGGGGGAGGGGAAGCAAATGGCATTTTTTCCTCAGTCAATTCAGTAGGTGAATATTGATGCAGTGGCTACCAGGTTACCCTGCACTAGACACTGTAGAACATGAAAGGTCAAAATACCCATAACATGAGAAAGAAGGGCCGGAGGAGCAGTTTTCTAGAACCAAACAGGGATAGGAATTTGAGAATGCTGGAAATTTCCAGAAACTGTGGAAATTCCTGCTTGTTTTTGTATGACTATTTGGGCTCCCCCACAATAAAGACTTAAGGTATTACTTAAATGAAAGAGGTCCCAGGTCAGCTGACTGGCAACCAGAGGCAGTGTCAGCACCATAATGGATTTGTCCACAGCCATCTTCTTAGCAGCTATAACCCCATCATCTGGCCAATTGCCCAACACACAGTGAGTGTTCACAAAAAAATGAGCCCACTCTTTGATCAAACCCACTAACCAGTTTTTAAATACAGGACAGCAAAAGACTTGTTCAACAGATCGGAGGAAAAGAGGCATTTACGAAAATACCACCCTCATTTGAAGCCATTCTGGAGATGGGGGAGGGGAACAGGAGGCTTGGAGGGAGCAGGACAACAGAAGGAATCCCTGGGGACTGCAGAAAGAAGAAAGGACCATGAGGTTGTTGGTAGCCTTCAGTCCCCTAGAGACATGTCCAGGTACCCCCAACCTGAACCAGGCAGTTGGTCCTTTGCTTCCCAAGGACCCTACAATCTCAAGCCAAGGAGAAACTGGTCTACGCCACACAAAGGTCATATCCCACAGAGAGCTCATGGGGTCAGGAATTAGGGACAATTGAGAAAAAAAATAGGGTTCCCCAAAAAAAGCCTTCAGCCCATCACCTGGTCCTGGAGACCACAATACATTCAGACCCAGAGAAACAGAAGTCACATAGCAACTCAAGAGACAGCTCCCGTCCAGTGAACATTGAGTACCACATACATTTCTCTACTTTCTTCCCATTCTTATTCATGTCTTCAATTTCAACCACCCTTTTGCTTTCCCCTGCTCCATTCCAAGCTCTCTCCATTTTCCCTTTGGGGTCTACCTCCTCCGTCTTGGATTCTGAATCCATCCGTGGCCCCTACTCTGACTTCTCCCACGGGGCCTTTTGTCCTCTCTCCCAGTCTGCTCCTCTCCCCTGCCCCTGTCCCCAGGCTGCCTGCCCTCCGCTCCCTTTCTTCCCTTTGCCCCATCACTGGGATCCTGTGGGTGGCTGTGAATTCTGCCTGAGTACTTCGTTCTCTCCTCTCTCATCTTGGTGGGGTCTATAGCCAGTTCTCCTGTTGCTCAGAGATGTGGAGGCAGTTGCTAAGAGACAGTGAAACGTCATTACCTGGCCCTCGAGGAAAAAAAAGAGGGAGCGAAAAAGGGAGAGAGGAGGGGGAGGGATGCAGGGAGGGGGGAGAGAGGGAGGGAATGGGGAGGGAGGGGAAGACCTGTCTCTGGCGGAAGCCACAAACCCGGGCAGCCTCAGTACCAGCTGAGTTTCAGAAAGAAGCATTCAGATTCTGTGAACTTTCTTCTAAGCATCCTCTTTCAGATTCCCCTTGGGGGTAAAAGAAGGGGCACAGGGACCACAGGACGGGAAACCACAGAAGATGCTGGCCTGGGATCCAGGAGACCTGGAAGAGGAGAGCCGGGGGAGGGGCAGAGCCGAGTAGGCAATCTGTTCTGGAGCCAGCCAGCAGCCAGCGAGCGAGCGGGGATTCCAGGATGAGAGAGGGAGACCCGTGTCTGCTGCAGATTGATGGCTGTGTCCTTGGAACAGAGTGAGTAGGCTCCCGAGGGCCTGTGGGAGTGTAGCGGGAGACCTTAGGGCTCAGACAAATGAGTCTGAATAAAGGGGCACCAGGGTGGTTCCCCAGCGAGTGAAATTGAGACTGGAAACAGTGGGAAGAGAGGGTGGGAAGAGAGGCAGTGCCGGAAAGAAGGGTGAGGGGAGGACAAGTGAGGACAGATGGTGGGTGAGGAAGAAGCCCAGGCCACCGAGGGATGGGGTGGGCAGCTGGGCTAGGCCCGGGTCTGCCCTGCTTCTCCATCCCTCCGCCTGACCAAGTGAGGGTGTGGGCTCAAGCTGGGGGCAGGGAGCGGGAGAGTGGAGTGTTTGTAGAAAAGGATGCTGGGATTAGGGGTGGACATGGGGGGTGGGTGAAAGGTGGTGGGGCACTCTGGGGAGGGGGCTCTGCATGGGTGCGTGTGCAGAGGGAAGAGGGACAGAAAACAGGGGAGGCGTGAGCCTTGGCCACTGCAAAATATGAAGGAGTCACGGAAGAATTGTGTGTGTGTGTGTGTGTTTGTGTGTGTGTGTGTGTGTGTGAGAGAGAGAGAGAGAGAGAGAAAGGAGAACGGTGTTAAAAGTGTTTGAAAGGGGTGTGCAAACAACCACAATGTGGATGCATGTTTTCTCAGGGAGTTGTTCAAGGGTGGGGTGTTTGATGCTGATGGGGGCGGAGTTGTGAGCAAGAAAAGAAATGCATTCAGCCCAGGACAGGCAGGAGGGTGGCTGGAGGTCGGGTGGGGAAAGTTAGTGGGTGTCGCCAATGTGAGGCTGGGCTCTGAGTTCACCACCATCCACAGCTGAAAGAGAGTAAATAGAGAACTTTACGGCTGGGGGTCAAAGAAGAGAGAAGGGGATGGGTGAGGTAGGACAAGGGCAAAGGATGGGGGACTGGCTTGGAGGGCCCTGTTTCTCTGCCTGAGTGCTTTCCTTGTTGACAGAGTGGATTCTGCGTCCACCTGCTGAATGTGGAACCACGAGGAGGCACCAGCTTGGAGAAGGAGCCAAAGCTCTCCTAGCTGACCCCTAGTCGTGTACCTCTAGTACCCATGGCTCTTTCCAGCTCTGGTGACCTGGGCCATGGGTGTCACTTGGGATCCTCCTCACCATGAGGAACAAARAGCATCCCTGGGGATTCCAGCAGCCACTGAGGCTAGAGATTCAGACTTTCAGAAGGCCCATGGAATCCTGCTTCCTCCTGGGCTCCCTTCCCGAAACTCCTACCCCAGGACCTCCTGGAACTCCACCCTGCTGGACCACAGAAGAAATGACCTCTGAGACATCAAATGCTGGAGGCCCAGGTGCAGCTCTGACTTCCTAATCAGTCTCAAACCCAGACAGGGCTGAGGTTTCCTTAGAAGAAGTGCCAGGACCTTTAAAGGGCACCTTTCATCTCTCCCTCGCCCTCCCTCCCACCTCTCAGACCTAGCACCAAGAGGAAGCACCCCACAGACATGGGTGAGAGGGGCACAAAAGACCTGCAGGGACCCTCCCAGTACCTGCTGACAGCAGCTCCAGCTCCATCCTGGTCTCCTTTCTTTCTCCAGTTTTGATCATCTTTTCAGACCCTGGGGGACCTTGGCTGGGTTTCTTGCCCCCTAGGCTCCAAAGGGGACTTCCTGTGGCTCTTGGGAAGTCCTTTGGTGCTTAGAGGTCCCCAGGAGACSTTTGGGCCATGATACCATGTGCTCAGACGCCCCACTTTCAGAACCCAGGCCYCTGATGTAGCTGCCGTCCTGCACACTGACTGTGGGATCCACGGACACCAGCCTGATGGGCTCCCTTCGGCACTGCCGCTGCCAGCTACCCAAGATGGGTGACACCTGGGCCCAGCTTCCTTGGCCTGGACCTCCCCAACCAGCCATGCTGCTGGTCTCCCTTCTTTTGGCAACTGGGGTGATGCGCTCAGATGCRGGATCCAGCTGCCCGGTCCTTTGCTCGTGCCATAACCAGGTTGTGGACTGCAGCAGCCAGCGGCTATTCTCTGTGCCCCCAGATCTGCCGAGGGACACGCGCAACCTGAGCCTGGCCCACAACCGGATCTCGGCCGTGCCGCCTGGCTATCTCACATGCTACATGGAGCTCCGGGTGCTGGATTTGCGTAACAACTCTCTGATGGAGCTGCCCCCGGGCCTCTTCCTCCATGCCAAGCGCTTGGCACACCTAGATCTGAGCTACAACAACCTCAGCCATGTGCCCGCTGACATGTTCCGGGAGGCCCACGGGCTGGTGCACATCGACCTGAGCCACAACCCGTGGCTGCGCAGAGTCCACCCCCAGGCCTTCCAGGGCCTGGTGCAGCTCCGAGACCTGGACCTCAGCTACGGGGGCCTGGCCTTCCTCAGCCTCGAGGCTCTCGAGGGCCTGCCGGGGCTGGTGACCCTACAGATTGGGGGCAACCCCTGGGTGTGTGGCTGCACCATGGAGCCCTTGCTGAAGTGGCTGCGGAACCGGATCCAGCGCTGTACTGCGGGTAAGGGACTTGGCCAGACAGGGCCACCGTGGGGAGGGGAGACTCGGAGCTCCCAAGTGTCTTGTGTGTGCTCTGGTCCCTGCTTGCCTCTTGGGCACGTGCTCTTTCTGTCCAYAAGTTTTTTGTTGAATTCTTGGAGAGCATGAGAAGTGCTGGGGACCCATCCCCTCATGAAATAGAAGGCCCCTCGCCTCTGTGGCAGCTACTACCTAATGAGGCAGACAGAGAGTAAACAAGGGGGCATAACTGACTGCAGATGACATTTAGGGGGTTTTCTCTGTGATTAAAGAATTTGGCCTATAGCCTCTCTTCCAAACCCTTTTTTTTTTTTATGATCTCCATTTTACAGGTGAAGAAACTGATTTAGAACAATGAAGAGGCTTGCCCAGAGTTGCTCATTTAGAAAGTGGTAGGGCCCTAGATAAAACTCAGTTTTCCCTGACTTCTAAGCCTCATTCTACTGGACCAGGCTGCTTTTTAAGTGCTGGGAAAATCCTAAGAAACAGCCATGACCAACACTATTTATTTGAATACTTACTATCTGCCAGTCCCTATTCAAATATGTTACATATTTGAGCTTCTCCTATCTTCCCGTGAGCCCTAGTGAGGAAAGGAGGAAACCAAGGAGGACAGGAGGAAACCAAGACACAGAGAGGTTCATTTGCTTGCTCAAAGTTACACAGTTCCTAAGTGTTGAAATCAGGATTCTGACCCTGAAAGTCTAGCTGTCCTCTGGCCAGATCCCAAGAGTCAGATTCTGGACTAACAGAGCCCAAGTTCTGGACTGGTCAAGGGTCCTCAGCGGAGGTCTGGGCATGAGGCCTGGGGGAAGGAGCTGAGATGTGGCAATTTAACCCATCAGTCCCAACTGGAGAGTGGATTGGAGCCTGGAAGGAGCCCAGGCATGCAGGTTTGATGGGTCCTGGTGTCACCCCGTGGTGTCCAAGCCTGGCCCAGAGGCAGGAAATGTTCAACAGTGGCCTCAGCCTCCAGCTCTCCTKTGTGACAGCCCCGAGCTTAAGCCCAGGTGCCCAGCAGCTGGATGACAAGCATCACTGGGGCCCCATCCCAGGATCCTTCCCAGAATCTGGGCTCTGCATATTTGGGGGAAGTGAAGCTAAATGAGGTAGGAGGAAGAGGAGGACTCCTCAAGAGCCCAAGACCAAAATAGTGTGGGGGTGGGGATGCAGGTCACGATTCCAGTGTTTCCACAGAGCTGTGGGAGGAAGTTCTCCCAGATGGAAATAGCTGGGACTGAGACCAGGTGCCTATGGGGGCAGGAGGGGCACCTGCCTGGAGACATCTTCCCGCCAGCTCAACCTCTGCCTTCCCTCTCTCTCCTGCAAACTAACCACAGAAGGGGCCCTTGGGGTGCTCAGCTTCCCCGGGGCTGGGAACTCCTCTTTTACTGGGATCTCTGAAGCCCCTGTTGCCCTAAAGAAGTCCAAACTCCCAACAAGCAGGAGAGAGCTCCAAGATCTCCTCCGTGTAGCCCCACACAGTGGTACAGGGGAGGGACCGAAGCTCCATAAAGGGAACAGTGACACAGATCCACAGTGAGAAAATAAACAGGCCACGGCTCGAAACCCAGACCTCCTGATCCTCCATAGAACACACATACAGCACGCCACTCCCACCGGGTTTCCTCTTGGGAGCAAAACCTTGCCAGGACAGGTAGAACTAGTGATATCTCCCTTTAAGTCTTTTTCTATTACTTTCTCCCTTTTTCTTTATGGGATTTTCACTATTATCCATGTTTTTTTTGTTTGGAAAAATTTAAACATAAGATGTAGGGGAGTTATTAGGAKACAATCTGACTTCAAGATTGGTCCCTTGACTTAATAAAGAGCATTGTCAGCCCCCAGCCCCCCTGACCCGCATCCTGTGTAGTTTACTGGTTACCCTGGGAGTCTTCTCCAGTTGGTCTTCCTCCCCCAGTTCTTCTTGTCTCAGTATTACTATACCATCATGGACCTAATAGACTTTGGGTTCAGCATCTTCCAGTTTCCAGAAAAGAGCTTCTTTGCAGATCAACTCCAGACCCAATCCGGACCTGGGCAAGGTCTGGAGTCACGTGCAAACAGACTAYAGGAATGACTCAATCTGGGGTGTGGGGAAGCTTTCCTTCTCCACCCAAACCTGATCTCCCATTTCTAAGATTAATGGTGCACATCCGTTTGTCAGAAGGATCAATCTGAGTCCATCATTTTGTTCTCTGCCCTCAAAAACTGCAGGACGAATACAAAACATTTATACACCCTATAATTTAAACACCCTATAATTTAAAAAAAAAAAAAAACTTTTTCGCATTGACTCTCTTAGAAAAATCGAGGAAACTTCATGCCTCTTATAGAGGCAGGACATGAGAGCCAGAAAAGGGGGAAAACCTTGCCCAAGGTAAGAACTCAGTTGCACTGCACAACAGACCTTGCCTGCCCCTCTTACTTCTAAGGCAGAGTGAGATAAGACCATTGGCAATCATCATGCATTTATAAAAGTGACCCTGRAAGGAGGAGGCAGGACCTTCAAGGCTGGAGAGAATAGTAATCCCACAGAAGGAGCAGCCGCTCCTGAGTGCAGAATATGACCCCCAGGACCCATAAGAGACACCGATCTTCAATCATTTAAAAAGCTCTCACTTTCATAGAGCTTACTGTGTACAAGGAATGTACCGTTTGTCTATGCTAATTCACTGAATCCTCACTTACAACCCCAGGAGGTAGATACCTTTAATATCCTCTCTTGACAATTGAAACCAGGATACAGAGGGGGTTAAGTAACTTACCACTGTCACACAACTGATGAGAGGTGAAGAAGGGGATTTGACGCCAGGCTGACATCTCCAGAGCCTGTACCCCTAACCATGTATTCTGTGTATCTGGAAAAGCCACAGGGATTAGTAGAAGGACCCCAGGCCTTGTAATTGGACTGAGCCCTGCCATCATTTCACAAAGATTTATTGAGCACTTTCAATGGTGGGGACACTATTCAGAAGCTGAGGACACTACAGGAGGGGCTTATATTCAAGGAGGAGGGAAAGGCAATAAACAAGCTGTCAGACAGTGAAAAATAGCCTGGGAAAAAATCAAGAGGTGTGACAGGGAGTCTAGGGGAATATAGACTTGCTATTTATACAGAACCCTAAGGCCACACCACTAAGGTGGTATCAAGCAAAGTCCCAGAGGAAGCGTAGGGACTGAGCTGAGTCAAGACCCCGGAGAAAAAATCCCTTACAGAGACAAAGACAAAGGTAAGGGGACATGCTTGGGGTTGTGGAATAACAATMAGAGGCACATGCAGCCCGAGCAGAGAGAATAAGAAGCAGAATGGAAGCTCTGTGCGAAGCTGGGAAGCCAGGGGAAGGAAGGTTTAGGCAGAGAGTGACATGACCAAGTTCAGGTTTGAAAGCATCACTCCTCTGAGTGTGTAGAGACAGAGACGAGCAGAGGCTACTGTAAGAGACCAGCGACCCCACGAAAGCCCAGCTCTGCATCAAGAGCACCTACAGCACTTTTGACAAATTACTAAACTCTCCAAGCAGTGGTCTTTCACATCAATACAAATAGGTATGAAAATGTCTTGAGGATTGTTAAGGAGACCAAAGAAGAGAGGCAGATTATTTGGCACATGGAAGAAATGCAATGGCCTCCTTTGTCCTGGGAGGGGTGGGATCTCTGCAATCCATTCTCCCCCCCCCCCAGGAGCCTCACCCTCCCTGGGTTCTGTGTTGCAGATTCTCAGCTGGCTGAATGTCGGGGCCCCCCTGAAGTGGAGGGTGCCCCCCTGTTCTCACTCACCGAGGAGAGCTTCAAGGCTTGCCACCTGACTCTGACCCTGGACGATTACCTCTTCATCGCATTTGTGGGCTTCGTGGTCTCCATCGCTTCCGTGGCCACCAACTTCCTCCTGGGCATCACAGCCAACTGCTGCCACCGCTGGAGCAAGGCCAGCGAAGAGGAAGAGATTTGACGTAGGTGCCTGTCATCCCTCCATGCTGCCGACTGCCACTGCTGCTGACCACTGGTCACCCTCCCCAGCTGCCCACTCTGGTTCCATTGTGCCCTGTCCACCTCAGCCATGGTTCTGACAAGTTCTGGAAAACTTCATGTGAGCATCTCTGTCCACTTTGGGCCAGGCACTGTACTAGGAAGTGGGAATGTAAGATGACTCCAACGCAGTCCCTGCCCTTGAGGCATGAGCTTTGAGTAGAGGAGAGAAATTCAGAAACTTTCCCTTTATGACAATACATCAGTCCTCTGTGCACATAGTTATGGAAGCCCAGAGGACAAGCCAACCGAGTCCAGGAAGAATTGCAAAAGTGGACTGATTTGTGAGATGGGTCATCAAAAAGTATCCACTGTGTCAAGTAGACCAAGAAGGGTGGACATGAGCAGATGACAGAGGTCAGGATACTTGTGGAATGCTGAGAGCAGTGGACTATTCCTTGAGGTGTTAGYGTATACTGGGGTGTGGCACAGGGCCCAAACTTTCCCTCTGACACCCAATCTGTCTGCTCTCACTGCTGCTAACCACTGCCCCTGGGGAGCAAGAATGCCTCATGCCAGCCCYTTGGCCTGCTCCTACCAGCAGCTACCAGGTGAGACCACTTCCCAAGGACTGCCCCCAATATTATGCCACCAACTATAGCCCGCTAGTGAGGCCTGGGCAACAGGCTGAGGATGGACACCCCCAGTGCCTGTCCTCCTACGCCTGTCTTCGGCCTCTCACTCAGTCTTGGTTTCAGAAGAGGAAGGCAGGATGCCCTGGAACTGGGCAGCAAGAATCCCGTCACCCTGAGACCCTAATTCTGTGACTGTTCTTGCCGTGGTGCTCACATCAAGGGATCCCACCAGGAAAGTTCACGGTGAGCTACAGACCCATAGCATGACAGTCCCCAGGGCTGAAGGAGGACAAAGGGCACCACCGTCGTGACCACAGGAGGGTTTGTATTTTCTTCTCAGCAACTCGTCCATGGAAGCATTAGGGTAGGAGAGCTATTGGTTACTGAGCCCTCGCCAGTGTTAGGCACTGTGATGTGGTGGTCTCTCCACAAACAACTCCCTTTAGCACACGTAACAGTCTTTGGAGGAGAACATCCTTGTTCCCATTTYACAGAKGAGRAAATGCAGGCTCAGAGAGGTTAAAGTCATGTGCTACTTCATGATCAAAATRAAGTCTGTGCTCCTGTTGCTGCCCCATCCAAGTTGGGGAAAAGCACAGTTCCCTCTAAAGCTACATGAATTCGAACTCAAGCTGTGCTGACAACATGGCTAAAAAGGCCAGGCATTCCTCCGGGAACTTTCATATCTATTGACTCATTTATTTCAATTCTCAATAGCAACACTGCCTGGTGGGTGTCATGATTTCCATTCTTCTGATGAATCCCTTGTCGATGGCTGAGTCACTTACCGACGGTTATCGGATAAGCCCTAGAAGGAAGGTGATAGCCAACCCCGTTCAGGGAAACTAGATCTAATCAGTCAATCAAAAAATCAAGTGACTGTGCAAAGCACAACTCACGTCGTCATTGTCACCATCTCCATCCAATCACCAGTTTCATTGGCTTCATCATGATCTCCCCCGGATAGTTCAGCACTGGATAGTTCAGGAAGTGCTTTTGCATCTTTCTCCTTGACTTTTCACAACCCTGTGCAGGAAGCAAACCAAACACCAATAATCCCATATTATAGATTGGAAAACAGAAGCTCAAGATGGGTAGGACTTGCCTAAATGGCAAGGTTGGACTCAAATCTAACATGGTTCTCTCTCCAGTGCTCTCCCAGGTACTCGGGAAAGAGAACACCTTGGCGGTCTGGAAGGTGAGGCCCTGGGGTTCAGCAGTCATGAACGTGCTAGTTTTTGTGGGCTTCGTGGTCTCCATCACTAGTAAATCAAGTCAAATAAAGGGAGGAGAACCCTGTGCACAGATCAAGATATGCTCACARTGAAGCACATCGCAGCCTTTTGTGTATACAGGTAGCACAGGCAACACTTGAACAGGAGATACCTGCTTTACAAAGTGCCAATAAAGCATTAGATCTGTTATGTAAAAAGTACGGTCTTTGGAAAGCAGGAAAACAAGCTGTACTATCCACTCCTAATGAAATCCTGGTGTATTGTATATCAGGAGGTACCAAGAGAGCAGCAAAAACTATAGGAACCTTTGCAGAATGGGGAAAATTTAAAGCACAATCCAACATGTGGGCACAGCTGGCCAGGGTGAAAATGAACACAGGGGCTTTCTACCTTGCCCTTAGTCCCAGCAGGTTTTCATCATCCCAAACTCCTGGTAACCCTGAAATGGATTAAGGAGAACATATCATCTTCCAAGAAGTCTCCCACCATGCATCTGCCCTGAGCTAGTCAAATCAAAATAGTCCCTACGAACTTGAACCTGTGTCATCTGGGTCTCACTTATACCATCTGAGGGAGTCCTGCCCCTCTGACATCTGAAGCAAAACTGCGTCCTGTTCTCTCCTTCCACTATGGCCAAGGATGGTGGACTTAAGTTGTTCCTCGGTCAAGAACAGCTGAAAAGTATTTGGAGAAGAACTTTTAGAAGTAATGGTCATGACCAACTAGTTAAGCTTCTCATAGAGGAACACCGTAGTCATCTATAATAATCTCCTGGGGACTATGGCTTGCTGAAATATAGTTAATATATTTTAAGATATGTACTTTTTTCTCTTTTTTTTTTTTTTTTTGTATAGTACTAATGGTGTCTTTCGCAAGACAACAAATGTCCCTTGAGAAAAAAAATGTCCTTTCTAATGGGACAATTTGATCTCCATTAGTGGTAAAGCTTTCTGAGCTGCCTACGTGTTTCTCCAGCTGCTGGGAGGTCCCCAGTTAACTAAAGTGTGATGAGGAAAATAATCAACCTCCCTACCAGCAAGGAATTCACCCACCACCACCATCGTCTCATTCCAGCTGTCAGAACTAAACTTGTAGAAATAATCTACAAATTCTGGTTGGAATTATTCCCACACCCCTGATGACCTCAAACATTATTGTGTCCCCATAAGGTTTGATGCAGTCAGCTCCACTCTGGCTGACAGGTAGAAGATCTGTGTCTGTCTGTCTTTCTATACAGCCCTACATATGCTTGTGGTCCTTCTGGAATTTGGGTTTAACTCTGACACAGCTTGCTCACCCATCTGGCTGCTGCATTGTTCAGTATACAAAGAGGAGAGCCAACCAACTTTGAAGTGGGTCTGGCTGCTCCAAAAACATACTAGAAAACTCTGGTAGAGGCATCCTTAGAACCTAACTCCTCTGTCCGCGCTTCCCTCTGTCTCTTCTATCCCGCAGAGGCTTGTCCTTGTCACCGACCTACATGAAGGGTCATGCTGGGCCTGAGGATATCAAAGCTTAATGAACCAACTATGATGGTCAAGGTTGGGCCAAGAAAATTGTTCCTCGGTGAAGGTCCCACATCCGTACCATGCCACTCTAACTCTGTCACCTCCATTGACCCTCAAACAAACTCTCACCTCCTTTTCCATTCTTGCCAGAATTCCCAAGGAAGCTTGCCAAAAATAAATCCCCAGAGATGCTAGAGAGTTTCATGACCTCTTTCAAGGAGACGGAGACAGGCATTTCTCCTCAACCATCAGACCTACAGCCCCCATGTTCTCTGTAGGCATCACTCCTGACATTCCAGTGGTCGAAGAGCAGGGGACGGCATTGTCCATTGCTTGAAAGGACATCTTCCCAAAGCTAGGGAGACTTGTCTGCTCTTCCCACCCCAGAAAGAGGTGAAAGGGAAGTAAACGAGGCAAGTTGCAAGGTCCTTTTGTAAATCACCATCACATTTGCCACAGCACTGGTGGGAGAGCTCCCGGTTTTCCCAAGTGCTGATATCTGGAGGTGGGAGGGATCGGGAGGGAACGGGTTCCAGGGAAGATACCAACCTTTGTATGGAGATGATTTTATAACCATGCACTTTTGTAACTTGTGAAGAATTTTTCATAAATGTACATTAATAATAAAGAGTGTATAGTTTAACAAATTGTCTAAAAAGTTGTGAAGAGGAGGGAGAGGGAGGGAGGCAGCAAGAGAGACAGATAGGAACTAGGTGGAACCCAAAGAATGAGTGCCAAAATATACATCCAAAAGGTCTATGGGGAGGGAGTAGATGAGAATAATTAGGAGATGTGCCAACCACGAAGGGGCCTGTGTGGGAGTAAAAGAAACATTACAGAAGCACATTTCTACCAGGCAAAAAAAAGAATATGCATGTGTCTGTATGCACGTACCCCTGTGTGTAGGCATATTTTGGTATCTGAAATTATACAAAGAAGAGAGCATATGTTTTATACATGTTGGTGTTTGCAGTTTGGGTCATCTATAAAACACGCCAAGGCAAGTGGGTGTGCCTGCCTAATTAGCACCATTGAGGAGTGTGTGCCAGGAAAATGGCCCATGCCAGCACCCTGGGCAAAAGGACACTAACTCAGGTGTACAGGTCGACCAGGCATCTAAATGCCTGGTGTGGGGGATGGACAAGCCCATCATTGGTGTGAATTAAGTCTCTATTCTCATAAACTAATAATGAATGGAAAGGATGCTAAATCTCCTGAGCCTTGCAAATGTTGCCCACATACCATCAGAAACGAGATGGCTTAGCAGTGTCCTTGGGAACAGGGACAGAATAAAGGAGGCAAGTATACTTCGGCAAGTACAGTGGCAGTCATGTTTACCCCAGCACTCTAGAAAGGACTCTCAACAGGAAGTCACTCCAAGCAGGAGGTGGCCAGGGGCAGGAAGAGGTTCCCTCCTCCAAGAGAGATGTCAATGTCACTCTATTCCTCCCACTCCAATTGCCACAGGGTACCAAGGAATACTGCAGTCACAGAGTAAAGCCACTAAAGGGGACACAGATGCTAACTCAGAACACTCAAGTAAACAGAGAAGATCCCCAACTATAATCAGCATTTTCTAGAGTAGGTTGAGAGGGAGGCAAAATCGTTCCCTTAAAACTAAATATTTAATAGAGATTATACTGGAAACGTTCAAAATCAAAAAAAAATAAAAATAAAGAGTCCTGAGATAAGCAGACATCTCACAGCAAACTAGACCTTGGATAGCTCATTCACTGTCTCCTCCAATGTCAAGCATATACCTAGC